AATACAACAATAACAAATAAATAAGATCCATTACTTGACAGATTATCTAAAGCTATAGAAACACATGTAACAAACCAATAATCAAACAAAAGACAAATGTTAGAAGTGAGTTTTCAAAAGAGATTTTAAAAGAGTCTGTCTGTCTGACATCCTCAGGCAGAGAGTCCCCAGCTGTGGAGACGAAACGAGAAAGCTTGGTGACCTCTTGTGACCAGTCCTGATTTAGGAACCATGAGAAGGACCCTGCTAGAGGCCCTCAGGTTGTGGTCAGGCACATAGAAGATTAGTAGATCACAGATATAAGGGCAGCTGTGACTACTAAGGTAGTTTACCACCACCAAAGTGTGACTGTGTGAGCGAATGAATGATGTATCCAATGTAAAGCACTTTGAAGGTCTCTGATAAGGCGCTTTAAAAATCTGATGCATTATTATTATTATACAAAAAACACAAATTAATGGTTGGGGACAGATTATTGATGTAGCTGGAACAGGGGGCAATAACGTCAAATTTTAAGTTCTCCTGTTGTAGAAAGTTTCCCCACATCCTCGTTTTATTTCAGTCAGTCAGGATGTAACATGAGACACATCAGTGGTGCCAGGTTTTAACGGTACATAGAGCAGAATGTCATCTGCATTGCAATGGGAGTCTGTAACATATCTAGGTAGGAGATACCCCAGGGGGAGAATGTTTACAGCTTATAAAAGGGGACCAAAGATAGACCCCTGAGGAACCCCACATGAAAGAGGAGAACATGAGGGAGAGGCATTTCCTTCATTTAACAGATAGAGAATGAAGATGTGGTGGTCGCGAATGAACAAAGCTCCTCAAAGAGCCAACTCCTGCCTGTGTAAAAACAGCAGCTTAGAGATGGGCCTAAAACTGCTACCAGCAGAGGGATCTAGAGAAGGTTTCTGCAGCATGTTTAACGTATGAAAACACAGGATGACAGTAAACATTTAATAATAATAGTTTAAATATCATGTACATATGTAAACATTATGTACTATTAACATGCCATCAACAGCTCTTGATCCCAACTTTCTGGGGAGGTTTTTCTTGGAGTGCTGGGAAAAGTCTGAATGATATTTCCAGCTGCTTTTGTGAAGTTTTTAGGAGTTTTGTTCTTCTGTGCAAAGATCTGTTTTGTGATGCACTGTAAATCAACTCTTGTTGTTTGTGAATGCACCATGCTAATTCAGTGACTTGACTAAGTTTCCACCCGTCACAGATAAAGTTTTTAACTGTTAATCAAACTTTATTATCAGTATGCATTAAAAATCAGCCATCTGCAGAGCCGTCAGCATCCACGCAGCAGACAAACTGGTTCTGATGCTTGAAAGTTTCTAGTCTTTAAAACAACAATCTGCTATTTTCATGTAAAAGCCACTTTCCTTTCTTCTGCATATGTTGTTTCTGCAGAGACGTCTGGTGCACGGAGATTGTGCTAAAAGCATCTCACCTCACAGCACTGCTCTGTCTCAGCCCATTTTCTCTTCAGATGCTCAGTACCTGAATCCCTGAAAACTCTCAGACTTGACAGACTTTTGCAGCGATAATTGAAACCTGTGAGGAGCAGCAGCCGTCCAGCTCCTGATGCTCTCTGTTAGACGGATGCTTTAAATGCACACACACTGTTCAAGCCACACTTATCGGCACACTTAAGAATTATGAGAGAAAAGGTGCAAATCAAAGTAATTCAGTCTCTGTTTAACCCTGTTTCTCTTTAACCACATTACTGATCAATAAGCAGCATGAACATGTTCTTCTCTGTTTGTTTCACTTCAGCTTCAACAAATCTGAGTCCAGTCTGCAGCAGAGACAAACCCAGATTCCTCTCACAGCTTCCACTTAAAATCTGAGAGTGTCTGAAACTGCCTCCACCTTCTGAAGACATCTTGTTCCATGTTGTTGCAAATACCCCAGCAAGGCTAACTATTACTCCTTATAAAAGATTAATCACACTGATTATTAATTCAACCTCAAGGCTAACACTGCTCTACTGAGAGCCTCTTGAAGTTCCTTCTGCTCTCCCTCTGTCTCATTCTGGGTTTATAAAAAAGATATAAACCTAACGCTGAGTGAGACTGAGAGACAAGGAAATGGTGTCATTTTTCACTGCAGCAGGTAAAGGTATCACTTTATCCTGGCTTTAGTTTCTCTAAAAGTACTTAAAATGTCCAGACCAAAGCCTTTGCGAATGTTTAACACACTGATTAGTATCTGAGTTTATGGTCTTATTCTTTGTTCTTATCCATATGTAGTTTTAACACTAATTTTCAGTCAATATAGCAGTTGATATTAATTGATGAGTCAGAGTGATCAGAGGGTATCAAAGTTAAAGCAGAAGGAAAGAATATAAACTGCAGTCACTGTCTATTCTTTAAAGTCCTACTCCGTAGTTAATATCATAATTAGCTTTCTTGCGAGCATTGCAATCTGCCAACGTACATGCTTGTTCTGCGACCGTCCTCTCTACTCAAAGGGGCTCTGGGGGCGGAGCCTGGATTTGTGATGTAGGAAATCTCCCTGTGCCATTTGGGTCTGTCAGAGATTCACAGAGATTTGCATGAAGAAATACTCAGAAATGCAATTTTGCACTTAGTTTTTTCATGACATGTCATGTAGGGTTAGAAAAATGCCATATGAACATGTCAAAAACTAGAAAAACATGATTTTCATCAGAGTGGGTCTTTAATACGAAGCAATAAAAATAACTCATGATGTGGCTTACCACCCTGACTGAATTTCTAAGTGTCGAATTATCATAATTTACAGATCCTGTTAAATTTCAAACAGCATATATTCACCTGAAAAAAAAAAAGGCCTAAATGAAATTTGTACACTGTTATATACTATAGTTGCAAACTTATGAGAATGCTGTGAAAAAATGACAAAAAAGAATTGGGACAAAAGCAACCCATTCGTAAAAATAAATTAGCATTTTCTGGAGAATCAAGTGTCAAATGTGTGAGATTATCGTCTAAAATTTACAACAAAAGTTCTCACAAATGGTGAGAAATTATTCGCAAATATAAGTCTGTCATTTTGAAAACAAATGTGTGAGAAAATAAAGTTGCAAAATTTATCACAAGGTTTGTGACAGTACTGGTCTAAATTTGTGTATGAAAAAAATACAGATTTGTGAGGTTTGTGAGAATATGAACATGTAGCCAACAAGAAAAACATGATTTTCATCAGAGTGGGTCTTTAAACCCTAGATACATGGGACATTTCCTCTAGAAAGACAAACACCTGCAGCTGTAATGTAATGCATGTTCCAAATGAACTCTATTAGATTTGTTCTGGGGGATTTCAGTATTTTTTTATTGATTTTTAAGACATCCAGAAACACACAAAGTTTATGTAAATCTTACAAAAAAGCAGCTGTGATTCAAAGAGGATAAAAGTTCAATCGGAAACTGTTTATCTTTCTCTCTGCCAAAACTGGAACCTTGTAGTTTAATAAAAAAAGAGCCCCAATCTCAAAAACCTACAAGGCTCTTTCATCGCCTAATCTAATTCATATTTGTTGACTCATTTCACATCCAAGACAGTTTTTTCAGAGTCCCTGAGGGATGCTTTACCTGTGATCAGACCTAAGCCACATCCAGCTGACAGCTTTTCCAAACACAGCTCTGGAAATAAAAACTTGTGTTGACTTTTTTTTTTTTTTTTTAACTCAGACTGAAGCAGCAGTTTAGTATCTGCAATATGTCCACACTTTTTTAAATGCCAACAAGTTAATGAGTTTTAATTAGAAAAGTTTCTGTGCTGAGAGTTCCTGGGTTAATGTAGATGCCTGCCTTTTTTGTTGTAAAGTGCATTAACTCCATATCTGCTTTCCAAAAAAGAAGAACGGATCCATCTGCGAGGGCTGATTCTGAGTTTTGGAGGCTGGTTTCTGCAGTTCAGAGGCAGCGGGTGAGTTTATTTCTGGAACTGGATTCCATTGTCTGAGCAAACACACAAGATGAACACACACATACACGCACACACACACACACTTCTCTTGTGAGGTCCCTCCATTGTCTGCTTTCAATCCTGAAGCCCAAAAAATAACCACAGCTGAGGGAACCGTCACTAACATGCTCATAAACTGGTATCACTCTGATTTTGTTTTCATTAATAACTTGGGCATTTTTGGGAGGTGTTTGGACAAAACCAGATTTATTTAGGTGATTCAGGTTGAACCAAAGGAGTTTGAGACTTGCACTGATTTTGTTCGAAACAAACATTAGCTGTGCTATTTTCTGTTATTAGGAGATTAGGAAACCATGTATCTTTGGCCATCACTGAACTTAAGTGTTTGGTACGAACCTTTTTCTGCAGAATCACCAGCTAGGATAGTGATATATAGACACAGTCTGCATGAGTGTTTCAGTCATGTAAGAACACGAGTAGTATAATCTCCGAAATAAAAGGGTTGACCAGATTAAAGGTGGGGTAGGCAGGATTCCATTAAAGAAGCATATTTTTTTGTGGTGTATATACAAAAAAACTTATAATATCAGTCAATAGTTATTAGCTATTGATGACATTTGGTAATATAACAATATTGCTGTGTTTTATTATGTCTGTGTAGTCAACATTTAACATTTTTTGAGCGTCCTGCTCCTTCTGACTGTCCAAAGCTATTCTCTGCCTCCCCCAACCTGATTGGTTGTGAGGCAGACGCTGCTCCCTCGTGTTGTGAGGCACGCTCCACATCCTCGACAATGTTCAGGAGCCCAAACAAAGTTAGCGTGCTACAATATCGGACAGTAGAAACCAACCAGGAGGTACAGAAAATTGTCTGAATCCTTCTTTAGCCACGACTGCCAACAAAAGCAAGAAAACAAACAAAAAAAATAACAGAGACTCTGGCGGAACAACAGGCGCTTAAAACGGAGGTAGACCGGACAAGATCAATGAAGCATATGGGGTACGCTTTGGGATCTTATGGACCCTGTAACCTTTTTGCTGGACAGGTAAACTGCTTTAACAAAGTAAGCCAAGTGTCTGTAACAGAAGTGTTTCTTATCAAACTGGACCTGCTGTGTGTTGTAGCGCCACTAAACTGTTGACCTCGGGTCCTGGACTATGTCACTTTATCTTAGTTGTAGAAGTCCTGCAAACATTGTGTTTGCTGGTAGTCTGTTGGCGTCTACAGTAGCACCAATGGGGCCCAGTCAACTTCCACGTTGACTGAGAGAGCGTTTGTTTGTGGGCGGGGCTTGCTGGAGCAGAGAGGAAGGAGAGAGGAGGAGCTGAGGGGAAAACTGGTTGGGAGGGGTAGAGTTTACATTCAAGATTTTTCCCAAAAATAGGCACTTCCTCAGATCCTGACTACCCCACCTTTAAGACAGGATTTATCTCATTTCAAATCACTATAAGATCTTGGAGGGAGCGTCTCTTCCTGCACCTTGTGAGAAGCTGTCCTCGATGTCTCCCCCCTGGCTCCTGTCTGCTCCCCTCCTCTCTTCTCCTCCCTTCTGCTCCCGATGATAAAGTATCCAGGCAGGAGGTCTGTCAGTGTCTAAGTGGCCCATGCCCAGGCTCCTCTCCTGGGGCTCAGTGTAGGAGGACAGGGGGCCCCGGCTGGAGCTCTGATGACGGACGATAAGTGCAGGAGCCTCTCCATCTCTACCCATACACATCACCTCCCTCTGCGCTCACCTCCGCTGCACCTCCATCACTTGCTGACGTCTCACTCCGCACCCGCTCTGTCACTGCATCCCGTACTTCCTCCATATCCGTCTTCTTCTTTTGTTTTTCTCCTTTTTTTTCAGCCCCCTTCCCTCCCTCCTCGCTCCCTCTCTCCTCTGCCCTCCTTTATGTGAATCCCCACATGGAGTCCTCTCTGTGTGTTATCACCAAACCCAGAAACACACACACACATGCACACACTTAGCGACTGAAAACACCACGCGTCATTACCTTGCTGAAAAAGCGCTGCCAGCCTGCCTGCCTCCATCTATCTGTTCCCACTCTTCAGATGAATTAGACGCTGTCTTCCTGCCTTTCCCTTCTCCCTGTGACTCTTCCACCTCCTGTTGGCTGCCTCAGAGGTCAGAGGTCATTGCTCAAGGAGGGGAAGATGTATTGACAGGGAACTGATAGGTCAAGCTGGAAAGGTCTCCTTTTTTTGTATCCCATCAGCTCCAGCCTCAGGCTGTGCACATCTGGGGATTGCAGGGCGGGTGGACTCTGCAGCTCTTTTTTGTAAGATGCAGGGGGAAACAGAGGCTCTATTTTCTGCTCATTTAAAGCCGACAGGGGGGAATTTATTTTGGATTTGGTGGTTTAGGAGCTGTTCTTTATGTTCCTTCTGCTGCAGTTTTCATGGCCTTCCTGCTGCAGCGAGCCATCACATTGCTGCAGGCTGCAGCAGCAGGGAGATCCCCATGACACTGCTGATCTGTGGCCATGCTGGTTCTGCTGAAAGCCTTCAGGTGCCAATTTATAAGAGTGATCTTCTTCTGAGAGGAGATACTGGTGTCAAGGACTGGATGGCGCTCTCCTCTCTGTCTTTAAAGCTGAGTGCTGCTCTCTGGTAAAGATCTGAGGCTACAAATGTCACATATGTCTTGGTTTAACTCAAAGGGCATAGACCATCACAGAGTGAGAGCAGCGCAGCCGGGTGAATATTAAATAAGGTTGCTGGGAGGAGAGATCTCCTGTCATTAGAGCTGTGATGGGTTTTATGTTTTGCTTTTTAATGAAAACTGAATTCACATAGCAGAGCACGATTGATTTGTTCATCCTGAGTTACCTCACAGGTCAGGAAAAATCGACTGTGGAGTCGAGAGGACTCACCTGCCCCACTCAATAGGTGGAACAGGTCAGCTGCCTTCAAGGGCTGCTAAAGGTTTACAGTCTCATGATGGACTAAAGAGTCTTTAAAGATGTTTGCACCACAACTCTTCAGTATGTTCAATATTTTAAGACACAGCCCAGCATTTTTACTTCCTGATTTAACCGAGTGGTAACCTCCAGCGTTAAAAAGGAAGTCATAAGAGTAGTTAAAAGAACCTGCAGTGGGGCATGCAGTGGGTGAGCGCGCCCCATACATGGGGACAGCAGTCACAGGTTCGAGTCCAGCTCTGACCATGTGCTGCATGTCCTCCCCCTCTGTCTCTGTCTTCTCTCTCTGTCTCCCCACATTTCACCATGTCCTGTCAATAAAGGGTAAAATCGCCCAAAATAAATACTTAAAAAAATAAATATACATTAATAATGCAGTTCCTCAAATGTCCACTTAAGGGCATTAGGCTCCTATGAAGTCCTGTAAAATCTGCTGAAGCTTCTATTAAAATATTGATTTAACAACAGAAATAAGATGTTTCCCCCCCAAAAAAAGGTTTGCAGAATGTGCTACATGAAAATAAGATACAGTTTAAATAAAAAAAAAAACATAAAGGAAAAGCAAATGCTAAATTAGCTAAACAGTTGAAAAATGGTGTAAATCATATCGCAATATCGCATATCGTGTATTGGGATGGGTTACTTAACTGAGGGCTCAGTTAAGAATGGTGGAAGTAGTTCTATCACTGTTTTAGTGGTTATTTTTATTGGAAGCTGCCCTCTTTGGCTTTAAAGCCCATTATCCAGAGAAGGTGGAAAAACTGGAGATGTAACACACCTAGACTGTTGGATAGCCACGATTTTTATATTCTTGCATCAATACAAACAGACAATGTGCTGTGAGAAAGTCAAGGATAAGCTGTTCTTTACATTCAGAAAACAGGTATAAACTGAACAAAAGCAAAGGAAAAATGACCTGCATCATGTACAGTACCTCTGTTCTTCTTATTGATAGTAAGCTGTATGTATAGTGCATATTGAATGTGCCATGAGCAAAACAAGGCAGAGAGGAGGTCAAAGGCCATAAAGTATTGAACCACCCAGGCAACAGGAAACAATTCCAGTCGAAGAAGAATTGATGTAAAAGCTCCTGAAGCTTTCTGTCAGCGACTGAGAAACAACAGAGAAGAAGAAAAATGGATCCAAATCCTCCCAGATCCCCACCTGAGCTCACATCCATTGTTCTGTTTCCCCCGATGAGCCCTCGCCTGCGTCACTGTCTCCATCCACCCGTCCATCCATCCACATCCACCTCAGCAGACACAGCGGCGGTGGCAGAAGTGGCCTTCACCTCTTCTGTCACATTTATCACGAGGGAAGAGACGCTCCGCCAAACGAAATGCCAGCGAACCCAATCAGGCAGCAAAACAGTGAAACACAAAGTAATTATGTTCTGCTGCTTCCGCTGGAGGTAATTAAACAGCAGATTCTCTCTGCAGCACACACACACACACACACACACACACACACACACACACACACACACATGAACTGTAGCTGGAACACACACACGCACACATGCATGCTTTTGTTTGTTCATTACCTGATATTACATCCAATCACCATAATGATATTTCTACACAATGCTTTCGCCGCGCAAGGAGCAATAAAAACAGCCATTAACATCAAGACAGCTCATGATAAACATTTTTATAAATCTGTTTGATAATTAAATCATTTCTCTGATTTTCTAATGACTAAATTCAATCAACAAATCTCCCTGCTATTAAGCAAAATACTTGTGAAATGTCATGAGCTCAGCTACCAGTTACTTGACATTCAAAAGTCCAATTTACACTTAACCGTGATGATGTTGCAAGCATGCAGGTGGATTTTGACACAGGGGTACAATACAGTAAATTGCCAGGCTGCACAAGGAGATCAACTAACAAAGACTGTGACAAACTGACCTTGTGAAGAAGTTAACAACAGTGTGATAAATAGCTTTGTTTACATGGAAGACAATAATGATTTTAATCAGCTAAAAGTTTGACATATTTAAGCCTTAATTTGAATAAACAGGCATAGACCGACAGGAAATTGCCGTTGGTAGAATAAGGGTAAACCCTAAATTGTTACCCTCAACCGTTTGTAACTGTCTTCCATCTGTTCTGCAAATGCACTCATACTTTGACTCTAACCTGCAGAGCACTGTTGCCAAACAGAGATGCACGTGTCACTCTTTGCAGGTCTGATTCAAGTCCAGCCTGCAAATACCAGCATTTATGTTTCAATGTTTACTTATTAAAGCTACATGTGGACGATCACCTATTCTGATGTTGATCCAGCAACCAGCTGAGCAAAACATTAAGATTAAAAGTTTGAGAAGTTATATATGTTATATGAGCTACTGATCTCAGTCATCCATCTACAGTGGAGAGTGGGACTTACTTTGTCTCTCTCTCTCTATGTCAGACCACTGGTAAATCAAATATTATTCCCAGCACACCTAGGGGTAAAGGCAGAGTGGTGATTATTCATTTATTGATCGTGGAAAGCGGTCCATATGACAAATTGCTAAAAATTGTTTGTGGTTATACTGGAGTGGCCTTCTTTGTTATGGTTTATGTATGAGAAACAGAACCACAGTCTCACATTTGCACACTTTTGTCTATTTTCTAGGATTACGACAACTAATGTTTACCTTATTTAAAACTTCACACGTGGAGTATGGCCTGAAAACTAACTATGCAGTGTTTGTTGTAAGTATGGAAAAGCATGATCCTCCACCATTTAAGCTTTTGATATTAATGAGACAAAAATACAAAACTATTAAATTCCCAGAGATAAATAATTTATTAAAGCAGCATTGTGATATTATGTACAAGGAACACACCTACAAAAACATTCCTTTTTTGAGTATTTATTTATACATAAAACAGAGCAGGAGCAGTAGACGTTTGAAAAACTTCGATTTTTTTTTTTTTTGCTTGTCCCGTTTACTTCAATGCAAAAAATTTCACATGGTTTTTTGCAGCTTACATGACGAAGAATTGTCGGAGTGGCAGCATGTAACCAACAAAATCATATTGCTTCTGCTCTGGCTTATCTGCGCTGAGTGAACTCACCTCTTTGCTTACTAACTAGGTATGCCAGTAACCTCTCTAGTTCCTGCGTGTTAGTCCTGGCTGCACATTCACTGATCATGGAGGATACATGGAAATAAAACATCAAGGTTTTCTGATTGAAAAGAATGTTTATTTTCAGTCTGATTGTCATTGGTGCTAAATAATACACTGCATTTTGATATGCCAAGTAAAAGGTAACTCAAATGTCATGTGACTTTGTTGATTTTCGAGGTAACATCATCTATATTTGTTTATTTCATCATTAAATCTCTCTTCAAATTGTTGAATAATGCTTATTCTTGCCAGTTCCTAACCAGCAGAATCATGCTCTTGTTTACCTGACCGCAGGAATATGAAATGAAAACCTGAATGATTAAAGAGCAACAGCGGTAATGTATGCAGCATCTGCAAATTGCAACAATGTTTAACTGTGTAATGCAAATCTGCATACACATTTACATTTAATTACACTTTTAAAAGTGCAGCCCAGCAGCAAAAGTACTGCAGAACATTTCTCATCACTTCCACATTTTCTGTTGAGTGAATATTTATCTTTTCGCTGCCTGATTGCCTTCATTACAGCAGAAACCAGACGGCGGCTGCAATTACACTCCCTCATAGCTGCAGGTTTGTGTGTGCATGTGTTGTGCTGTTCATGACAGACTCACACACACACACACACACTCCTCACAGCATCTGTCCAACCCTCCATCAGAAGCTCACTGTCTCTCTCTTTGCACCTTTCAGGTTTCACTTTAAACAGAAAGATTAAAAACACAAAGAAAGAGTCTCACCTTACACACTCACTCACAAACCGCGCTCTGCACGTCTCCTCGCTATCATTAACATCATGATGTAAGCTTTGGTAAGGCGGCTCGCAGCCTCCTAACACCACATTTAATTACTTGTGATTCTCACACAACCACCTTTTCAAAAATCCCTGAAGATGTGCTTCAAAAGGCCAACCAGGTCTTCTTCTGCGTCCAAGCGTAAGCTAACATCAGGGTTTGCAGCCTGTTGCATCAGCACGCACATCTAAACACACAGCGTTAATGGGGGAGGAGGGCGGGGCTGTTTGTCACAAACATAGTCACATGGCTCAGGGATCCCAGCATCCCTTGGGGCGAGGCGACCTGTGACTGAACGATGCACCTGGTGCTCCCTCACCTTTCCTTTAAGAACTCAGCCTTTCTCAGGTGTTCTTCATCACTCAGTCACTGTTGTCTGTGATTTACCGGCTCTCGGTCTCTGTGAAGGATGGCGTCATGGCTAATGAGCTGTCATATCATCACTGACAAACACGCAGGCTGAATTGAGGAGCAGCTCCACCAAGCTGGAGAGTTCTCAACAGGAAGTCTTCAAAGCTGGTTGTTTTCTGCCTGAGAGAGTTTCTGCCATCAGCTCTATCTTTCTTCTACCCACAATATGGACGTAAACTATCTGTTAGTAAGTTTCTTGACTTGCTGAAGATTGTAAATATTGATTTTGCACAGTTCAGATAAGGGAGGTATTTTATAAGTTTTTATAAAATAACAGATGCAGAAGTAATGTTTTGGTGAATAATGAAAACCATTTCACTGTGACACTATTCAGAATCAAATTATATGAAGATAACAAAAAAGACTGCATTTAGGCCTTTCAGAACAAATTCAATATTAACCTGCTCATTAAAGAGGTGCTGAGGCCTGGTGTGGGCTGGTCGCTGGGTTACTATGTCGATGAACGGGAACATGGTTGATGACTTTATTTCGGCAGCTCTGATCAATGTGATCAACTGAAGCTACTTTACCATAGTTATTTTACCCAGCATTTTATGATGGACTAACCAACATAATAAATAATGAAACAGATACTGGACTCAGCAAATTCCGTGCAAAAACTCTATGGAAGTTACTGAAAACAACAAAAGAAGAAGAAAATTTCCTCTGGGAAATTTAGAAAGGGCCACATGGGCTACTGCTGGGGTGTGTACATAATGATTTGATTCTTCAGAGATTTCAAATAATTAATACTAGTGGCATTGTGGTATTATTTACAAGGAGCGCACCAACAACAAACATTTGTTTTTAAAGTATTTATTTATACATACAACAGAAAAAAAAAAAAAAAAAAAAACAGAGCCGGAGCAGAAGACGTTTGAAAAACTCTAATAGCTGCTCTTTTTTTTGCTTGTTCTATTACATTGTGAATAATTTATATACAATTTATATACAAAAGAGAAAAAGTAATAGTAGTTGTGAATCCAAATTTGCCAGAGGAGGAATGAGGAATAATCCACAGTATAACAAAGTGCCTTGATGTGTTCGCCTCATAGCCCTAACACTAACAATGGATCCCCTCTGTTTCTCGGT